GGAAATGACGCCACGATTTGTATGGGCATAGGGACTTCTAAATGGGATCATATGAGCAGCCACATTTCCTTATTTACTGTATTTAAGAGAGTAGAAGACTAGGAGCGTCGGCATTCTTGCAGGTCGGTTCAGCGTTCTTCTGTGGGCCGCGGATTGAAAGAGTTAGGCGATAGTTTCCTTTGCAGTAAGAGCCCGGCACATATTCTAACATCGCAAATGAGATTTTGTGTTTCCATCAACGTAAGCTGCAAGATCTACAAAAGGCGAACGAGATGACGGGCGGCGTATTGAAAATGCGGCATAAGGCCCAGGCCAGAAATGAGAGTCGTCGCTCATGTAGCGCTTATGGTGGGTATAGGGCTTTTTACACGGTATTATACAGTGAATGTTCAATGGGGAGGTGATAACTTTTACGTAAGGTCTACATGTGGGTAAAATAAGACGTGTGCAAGGAAATATCAGTAAGTACACGAGGGAGACTGCCCACCGCACAACTCCTTGGATTTCATGCTGGAAGTTACATTCCACATGATGAAGATGTAATCCTCTCTGCAATAACTTCTTGCTACGTTCACTATTGCGGACATACTTCAGCTTCAGCGCCAGACCGCGATAATTGAAGCCTTTTTCCTTCAATTGATATTTGCTCAAACTCGCAGTGCTGCCACCTCGTAGCAACAGCTGGATAATGATTGTGATGTGAATGTATAAAGCCCTTGCCAGTATATCTGTTACAGAGGGTTATATACGCAGGACTCACATTCCTATGAGCTGTATTCTTTCAATGCAGCAAGGTGACTGACTTGCCCGATGATGTCATCGACCAGGAGCCTCTTCGGGGGTTCAGGGAGAAACTTGATCATTAATAAACGGACAATCAAATTTCAAACAGAACTGGACAATAAAATGGGCGCTAGATGTACACAGGGTTACTATGTAGAGGGATCACGTAGCGAAGTAGCGTGAATAGTTAGCACACAGCCCTTAAACTACGATAGCATAATGTATCCCAGCAACCCATGAGAGTCATCTAGGCCGCTACATTATCAGCAGAAGTTGTGTCCTAAAGTTGCTTGTTGTAGCCACTACACTATATTGCTTGGATGCTGGGCCCCCCAACCTATCACAGTCTATCACAATGTCCAAAATTTGTGTAGATACTTCTACCCCGAACAACCGCCCTATGTGTTACAGGGCAGGAGCAACTATAGATGTCTCAGTCCTCCGAAACTGCACTTGTAGAGATATTCTACGCTCTGCCTGTTACAGGGTAGGGCCGTAAACTATAAATGTTATGTATTGTCTCATGCGCGACCGAACTCAGGAAGGCCTGAATGAGTTAATCCCTAAACCCGGAACTTATTTTAACTGGGCCAAGCACTCAGCAGGTTGGCAACTTGAGGGTGTTCATAGAGGTTATGTAAGGTTCATAGGGGTGATGTCGGTTTAAGTGACATATCGTGTTTAGGGGTTATATAGGGCTTAAGGGGATAGATAATATCATGGGGGTACATATGGGGATTCTATGGGGATAGTAAGAGTGGTCGGGAGCAAAGGTACTAGACTGCGGAAATGTTTTTTTCTTTGGGGGGGGTCCGGGAATTGCTTTGAAATCCACATAATAAGGACTAATGGAGGTTTAGGGTAGAGGGTTTACTGGGGTCTATATTGAGGCCACCTTTTAATGGCAACTTTCATATGGGTATTTTGTGGGGATGGTCCTAGGGCTTCCGTCACCATGTAGCAGTCAGAAGCATGACCGTATCTCAACAAAGGGTGTCATCTCGTATGCCTTGATCCATTCCGCAACAAAGATGCCTAACCTTAGGTTTATGGTTGCAGTTCAGCGGCGCCAGCCCACTACAGCCAACATCGTCTTTACGACAGGGAGTTCAAATCTGCGGCAGTCCTATACGTGTGAGAAGGTTCTATGAAGACATTTTGGGAGGACGTGCGCCGGGAACTGATTCCCGTGGCTGTAGCCTCAGCCAGAGTTTCCAGAACTGAGGGACCCTAATAAGGACGCCAATTTCCTGTGGTTCCTCCTCGGAGGTCCCCAAACCCCTAATGTAACCTTAAACCCTAAATCCTATATCCTAAACCCTAAATCATAGAGCGGCATTTTTGAAATGACTGCAGTCTTTGTAGAGGTCCTTTTGCGCACGCCCCTTAAAACTTGGGTACTGCACTGCCTCCTCTCTGTAACAGTTGGAGAATATAAGTAACATAATTATATACAGCCCCTAATATGACCCCGATAAATTGCTTCAGGGTGGCCCTTAACCCTAGTCCCTAAACCCTCAACCCTTAACCCTGAGCCCTAACCCCTAATCCCTAAACCCTTAACCCTGACCCCTAATCCCTAAGCCTGAAGCCCTGAAACCATTTTGGGGAGAGGGTATATACCCCTAAACCAACCCTCATAGCCCTACCTTGGTTGTGGAAAGTTTGTGTCTGGTAAGGAGTAGAGAGAAACCTTAGGGTTTGGAGTAGGGTTTAGGGTTTGGAGTTCTTAGGGTTTAGGGTTTATAGCGTTCAGGGTTTGAGGTTTTTCGCATTTAGGGCATTAAGGGTTTAGAGTTTTTCGGGTTTAGGGCATTAAGGGTTTAGGGGTCAGGGGCGATGCACGTAGGATTTGTGGGGCTAGGTAAGAAGCTGCAAGCTTCCTGATTGACTTACACTCGTCAGAGTGACTTGCATGGTTTGGTCTAGCGCTATAAGGTTCAAGTACCCAGTTCTGATTTGGGATCCAAGTTCTGCATCAACAAGCAGCAAAACAAACATACTGGTAGCAACCGGTGGCTTTACTGGTCATTGTAGGAATAGCATGGGGGTTTCCCAGCAGTTTCCCGGCTTACATGCCTGCAACGCATTGAAATCTGTATGATGGGGACCGCCAAAACCGCACTCCCAATTTTCCGAAATCCCAAACTCTATATCTGCCCCTAGAATACCCCCATAAAAGCCTATCTATCTGCCACCCTGTAACGGGACCTCTAAGTTTCAGCAACCCCCGCCCCCTTATCTTTCAAACGTCACCCTGCATCCGACTCCAGCTCATGATTGGAACCGCCGGTTCTCAACATGGAGGGGTGTCCGAAATGGGGTCCGGTCCATGTGTATGCTGATGTAGTTTACGGTTTCCGAAAATGAGAGATGATGTGGGGACACATAGTGTTATAAAGGGATACCACCGTGATGTGTAACGTCAGGCTTTCCGAAAATTAGGGGTCTCTTTTGGGGGGGCCTCTCAGAAGAGAGGTTATATACTACATTTGGGTTCTTTTTCAGATGCCAAAGAAGTCCTTCTCCCTGATGTGGCGCGAGGGTCCCCAAGGGCAGGTTTCTAGAAAACTCAGCAGAGTAACTTCTACCAATCGAATATGTAATACAAATAGCATCTAACAGTCAGCAATACTCGCAATACTCGTAATACTAGTATACTACTAATACTAGATACAACAGCTAGAAAAGTAATAGTACGAGCATGCAACCCATCATGGGCGCTGCGAAGCCTGCGCCCGTTCAAGATGGTTTAGCGAAGGTCACCCCTTCGCCACCTATACGCAATCCCTATTGCCGAAAAACTTACATGATCCCATCAAGCCCTGTGCAGCCCCCGCAAGCACGTTAACACTCCAGGTAAATATGGCTTGCCACCCGGCCTCCAAGAGGACCCCATGACTCGTAAGGCTTTTTCTTCAACAACATTACCCTAGGGATCCAAATAGCCCAATGTAGGTTACATTTACATACTTTGGGGCCCAAGGTAAGTATTATTTGTATACTTGGATCCCTAGGCTTATGAAACCAGGAAGGACCAAAGCATTTGCAACTTCGGCCCAGTAACCAGAGGCCTTCAGCACTTGAAAAGGGTCCAGGTAGGTGTATCACATACACTTAGGGCGCCAAGGGGTTCAACACACAATTTCTTTGGGCCCTAGGTATATGCTATACAGCTACCTGGATTCTTTGGGACTGTACTTGAAACCGCCAGCCTCAGAATCACAAAGCTCTAAGGTCCGTTCTCATGGTTTCGACAAGGTCGATTACGTTTGGTTCCTTGCCAGATTCAGACGACTGAATAAACTGTAGGGATTTTGAGACGCTCGGTGCTTCAGTCTGCCAGTTGTGCCGAATTGATAAGAGTCAAGTTCTAGAGCACAGCGCATAGGTTTTGGGAGGGATGTGACAACAAGTGATGGCAGTTAATGCAGCATTCATGTTAGGGTTTAGGAGGATTGCTGCCATTAGTTGTGACGTAGGACGTAGGTGGGCATAATCGTTTTGCAAAATTCAGGTCGACCAACTCATACTCCTGCCCAGCATCTATAGCGCTTGACACCATGTGAGCTATAGTCTAAACTCCTTAAAGGGGGGTTATATAGGGGATTATGTAAGGGACTACTATAGAGCTTATTAAGGGGGATACTAGGAGTTTAGACTATAGCTCATGTCTTGAAAGATACCTTTCCTCGGTAGTGTTGACTGCTCAGCTGGGTACGCCGGACCAAAGATGAACAGATTTTCGCAACACACATACGAGGCCACTATGGAGTCTCTAGAAATGTACGTGCCTGTTGTCGAGGGTGGATATGCCAGTGCCCGAATTTTGGTAACTCCCCATGTGGTAATTTTCGCAAATAGGAGGATATTATAAGGACCCCCAAAATGGTACCCTTAATTCGGGTAATTCACCATGTGCACCTGCGGCAAAAGCATTGGATAGACCTTCTGATTCATGAGCGTTTGCGGGTCAAGGAAGGCGGGCAACGCATAAAAAGTCCACAATCACGATGACACGTGGCATACACCCTGAACTCTTCGGTTTTCTGAGCATGTCTTGCATCATGTTGCTTTCAGTTGCACTACTTGAGCTGCAGAGATGCATGTCAGGATGGAGATTGCTTAGCAGCAGCTTTGCGATAGCAAGCATCAGCATCCTACCCTGTTGTGTTGTTTTTGGGGTTGGGGATTTAAAGATTTAGGGCGAGTGCAAGATGGTTGCTGGCGACGCCCGTGCTGTCTTCGAGGCTGACGGGGTGCCTGTCATCGGCCAGGCCCAGTACACAGGGGTAGCTTTGAACATCACTTTTCAATTTTTACTACCCTTAACCCCTATATAGTCCATGTGAAGCCATAACAATGTAATTGTTAGGGCTCTGGGCTTCCCACAGTAAGAACCGCCAGACGGGCATAGAAGGCCAACTAGAGCTTCAATAAGTGCCCCAGCTTCGTCAACAAGGGGTCTTCATAATCAAATATCATGGGAGAAGTATTCCATAAACCCTGGGCTCTCAAACCCGCAACCCTAAACCCTCAACCCTAACGTGTTTTAGGTTGAACCATCAGCCCTCAACCCTAAGCCCAAGACTGGTGAACCCTGCACACCTGCAAAAGCGTGAGACTTCCCAAAGGTGAAAAGCGACAAGGCAAACGCCACCCTATTGGCCTGGCATGAGGCTCAGACATGGAGCCTGTAATGGGTTATATTGGGGCTATATCAGGGTATATAGGGTTTTCATAACGGCTAGAAAGGAATGGTGCAAAAAAAAATGGAAACTATCATAATTGTGGTTCTTAGGCTTCAGGTGTGAGGTTTAGGGTTCAAAATATGGTAGGGTTTCGGGTTGTCAGGCCTCACATGATGAAGATGATGGGATTTGCTGTTGTAGACGGTGACCCCCTTCCCTCCAGAGGTTTCCAGGTGCTAGAGATCGCTCTCTACGTGTATGGCTAAATTTCGGACCCCTAGAAACCCAGCACTTCAAAAGGGTTTAATTCCAGGATTTCAGGACCAGAGCTTAGGGTCCGAGAATTTGATTGCCGAACGATAAGTTAGTATGCTAACTCCCAAACCTCTACACTCCAAGCCTTCAGCACTAAAAAAAGTAGTTCTCCGTTTTCTTTTCCACCCTAAACCCTAAACCCTAAACCCTAAACCCTAAACCCTAAACCCTAAACCCTAAACCCTAAACCCCCAAAGCCCAAAACTTGGGGGGAGGCCATTGGGGCCGGCATGGCTGGCAACGACGGGCGCCTGCTCGAGATCTTGGATGAGATTCTGATCGACGAACCCCTGTTCCTTGCCCCAACCTACCACAAGGACATACGAAGGGGAGTTTTGGCGTTTTTCTGAAGGGGTTTTGGGTACCATAATGACTGAGGGAGTTGGTGGTTGGTTCTTACTCCAAGGCACCACGAGGACTTACCAAGCAGGGTTCGTGTTTTTTCCTGCCTTGTTACCTAAAGGGCAGAGGGTCCATGCAGCAGCATACCAAAACGACGTACAATGGGTGACCTAGGGTTTGTTTCTTGCTCCAACGGACTTGCAAAGACATATCAGGGGACAGGACTTCCCGCGATTATGGCTCATTTCTCGAAGGGTTGTAGCCATCATTCACACTTGGGCATCTAAGTCAGTAAATAGCGTCCACGTTATGCCCTAAAGTCGAAACATGGTACCTACTTTGGGCATTGTATGCCTAGGGTTAAGGATTGAACCAAGCAAGGGAGGGATGGCACGGATCAGAGAGGGTCAGGCAGCACTGATCATCACTGACTATTGTCACCAACATGCTGGCACCATGAGTATACACTGAGGATTCAGGCTGGCAACCCCAAGCTTTTATTCCTTTGGTTTTGAAAGGCGTGGCAAAGGAGATTACAGGAGAAGCAGCATTGTGAGTTTTCTGGAGCACGAAATTGGGGGGACCTAAACCCCAACCACTAAACATTTGGGTACAATTTGTGCGGCTTTGGTAGAGTTTCCTTTAGGACAAGCAAGACAGCGCGAAGACAGAGTAGTTGTATTCTTTAGGTGGACCCCCACTCTCCAAAAGTGGAAAGTGGCATAGTAGGAATTAGTAGGAATTTCAAAAGGCCCTAATCTTGTTACCACTACCCCTTTTTTCACACTATAACAGGGTGGGGAGTCCACCTAATGTATTCCAGGAGTCCTCCCAAACCCCAAGCAGAGCCGGCAGGAGCGACGCGACAAGCAGTTTATCAAATTCGCTCTGGTCGGCGTTCCTAGACCCTTGAGGTGTATGACGTTTCTTGTTCTGTTTCTCTTGGAGTTCATGGATTACACTTATGTGGAATGGACTGTAACTTCTCCCATTGGACGCCGAGGTGACCAAAGCCTTCAAGCGCTTCAAGTACACCCGCGCATTTCTGGGTGATGAAGGCTTTGCCCTCGAGTTCGAGTGCAACCTGGGGAAGGACCTACAGACCCCACGCCCTTCACCCATGTCTATGTATGTCCGGTTGATATTAATACTCGTACCAGTGCTGGTGGTAGAAAAAAAGAACCTGGAACATAGTCATCTAGATCCTTATAGGCAAACGGAATTTGAGCCCCTGGAGTGTCCTTCTGTTTCAACTATGGAGCCTGTAAGGGTGCAAGTGTAAGTGGCAAACTAGGTTCTTGGTACACTCTTCTTGCAATTGGGCCTTCAAAAACGGATCACCGTGCAGGCACTAAACACTAAACGCCAAATCCAGATGGTGGTTCCGAAAAGAGGACCCCAATATAGGCCCCAAATTATTATATTCCTTATTATGGGGACCCAAACGGGTACTCCTAATTCTGGGACATCCCCAGGTGTACCTGCACCTGCACTCCGGCCATACTCTCCCAAAGGCCCAAAGGGATTCCCATATACCTACTTTAAGGCGCAAGCATATACAATATAGCTACATGGACCCTTTGGATTTGAAGGAGGATGGGCCCTTCATGCGCGGCGTGGATCTTGTGGCGCTGAATGCTGAGGGCAAGGTGACCCGCTTTGAGGCGGGTTCGGAACCATTCCATGAACAGGGTTTGGGGTTTAGGGTTTAAGGCTTAGGGTTTAGGGTTTAGGGCTTATGGTTTAGGGCTTAGGGTTTAGGGCTTAGGGTTTAAGGTTTAGGGCTTAGGGCTATCATTTTATCTCCGGTTGGGGTACAGGTACATGGGCTTCTGAGCACTGCTGTAGAGATTTATTTCTGCACCTCAACTCAGGAACCTGGCTGAAGAAACCCAAGATACCAGGATAATTTCCATGTTGTTTCCCAAAGGGTCCATGCAGCTATATGGTAGATACTGGGGTCTTAAAGTAGTTATATGGGAACCACTTTGGGCTCTAAGTTTAGACCATGTACCTATATGGACCCTTTGGGTTTTCCTTTACCTGCTATCCCCCAAAAAATCAGGGCACCTTTTTCAGAGTCTTCCCTGAGGTCATGGCCCGCCCGCCCAAAACCGTCCTTCAGCTCCTGGACCTTCAGACGAAATTCCTGGCCCAGATGGGTGCCACAGCTAGAAGTAATCCTCTCCCCATCGTCATGCCCCCCCCCCCCCCCCGAAATATTATGGTTATGCAATAGGGGGAATGCTCATTGTGTGCCGGGTGGGGAGGTGTGTTTTCATTGGGATGGGATTACATATGCTAGTATGAACCCAGATGGCTTAAGAACCCAAGAAATGAGGGATTGGCATTTGGGTAGTACAGTAGTACTTTGCACGGGATAAGTGTGGTGTAGGTTTGGTGTGAGGTACCTAGTTGGACTTCGAGGGAAACGGTTGGAAATAATATGAAAGCCACCACATTATTGGTAGTTAAAGTTGGTGTCTCTGTAGGTTGTTGGCAATGCACTTCTGATTTGGGATTTATGAGATGGAGGATTTCAGAGGTCAGGGTTTAGGGTTAGGGCTTATGGGCTTAGGGTGTTTCATCTCATTTGAGCTACAGTCGATATCCATATGGGGGTTGTCCCAGCCAGGGATATCTGGGGATGATGCGCTCTTTTTCTGTAAGGATGTGGTGTGTGGCTTGGGATCATTTGGCTATGATGAGGCTCTGATGTGATTCGAAGCTTTAGGATTTGCAGGGGGGTGAGGGTTAGTGCCTTGCTTCTTTCAGCTCAAGGGTATAGACTTCAGGCCTTTGGATCTTGGTGGGTACAGAAGCTCAGGAGTTTACTGGGCTGCTGTTGAGGAACTTAATTTAAGCTACTGTATTGGGGAAACCTTGTTATTTGCTTTCCATCATACCCATTATGGTGCCTCAGTTCAAGTGTCTGAACAGCAACCCTAAACCCTCAACCCCTGTTTCCATTTCAATGTCCATGTTCTTTCCATTTGATTCTGAATTATTGGGGGTAATACCGCTAAACCCTAAATAGGATTCAGGGTTTTGGGCCTCAGGGTTGCCACTGGCCTGTAGTGGCTTGGATCTGTTTTCTTTGTGGGGAGGATTTTCCGGGGCTTGCGGAGGCCATGCGAAGGTTGGGTTTAGAGGTTTAGGGTACTTGGAGGTTTCAATTTGTACAGAGCACTAAGAAGGAATGTGTGTCCGGGCTGGAACGCTTCTATCTTCGCCTTCTTGCACGCCAAGAGATACCTGCATCTGTCAGAATGCGGCTTACAGAAGCACTAGCGAAGGAGGCTTACCGAGGCATAGCCACAGATGATTGCGAAGCTTCTAGCCCCACTTCTACTCCCGTCTATCTCCAAGTATGATACACTTCCCCCAACTAACCTGGAAGCCCAACAAAGGCCCTACAAAGACAGTTTTGTAAACAGGGCACTATATCAGCTTCCATGTTTGTTTGGGGAGGGTAGGCGAGAAGTCACGCCAAGGTATGTTGAAGAGGCCAGAAGCCAAGCTGTGACATCCGCTGCTGCCGAAGGGCAGGATATGATGAGCGTACAGTGCTGGAGTCTGATGAAAGCGTACTAGTCGTTCCTGATGTTCCAGACGTGTGTTGCCGGTAAGAAATCTTGGTACCTCAAGCTCTGTTACTGGCACTGTTTCGTTGTAGCCAACTTGTCAAGTTGTATGGCACAGAGCTTATTGGAATGATGAGGATATTTCAGGGGCATGTGATGAGCTCGACTCCTACACTCCCATGTTGCAGACGGCGTCGAAGGCGCTTAGCCCTGGGACTACCGCTTGGGTGCCCATAGGACATTGCCTTTCCATCTGAGGGTCTTGCGCTTTGGGATGTCTACAGCGTTGCTTTCTATTTCGTTGTGTTATAACGCCTGCGCACTGACATGTGCTGAGCGCAGAGCTGCAAGCTCAGCGTAGGAGCAATATCTTGCAAAGGCTTCTGCGTGATACGAACCCATCAATCATCTGCAGGTGCTGTTAGCGCCGAATCTCCTTTCACTAGCACCCAAGCCTCTGTTTCCAAGTTCTAGAGCCATAGCCAACGCGTTCACATCACTGAGCTACCAATCCTTTCCCATAGCGCAGACCATCATACGTTTGGCCTAGCGGCGGAAAGCCGCCAAGCGCTCGCCACGCCTTCTCCAGAAAAAGATAGCATGTTGCAGCGGCTTGGAAAGGGGGCTGGAACACAAGCCCAAACAGAGGTACTGGTTTCCGTGAAGCTCTTCCTTCGACCTCCTTGGCTTATGTTTTCTAGGGCGCAGAGCTAGCTTCTAGGCGCCGCTCCTGTTTGTCGTCACCCTTGATCAGCCGGGCTATCTTTTGGCTACTAGCATGAAACACCTGGAGCGAAACATCGTGAACATTTCTCACAAGCACCCAAGTAGATTGATTAAGATGACTTCCTTGGAGGAGGCGAAATTTTCTAGACTGTGGACCGCAAAGTTCATGCACTTCGGAACTCAGGAGCTCCTGGGTGCTTTTCACAGTGACAGCAGCTTGTGGATGAGCCGACTTAAGGGATTAGGGAGCCCCATTTTTTTTCCTTGGCCAAGGTACCGTAACCCTGCAGCCAGCGTTCCAGAGGTTTTCCATGTGCAAGATGCTTGGCTAGATTACTTGTTGGCTGGATTTTCCAAAATTTAGTTTTCAGGGGTCCCTATAGCACGAACTGGGTATAGCATTTTGGTGCCTATATTGGCGTCCGTTAGGGATATACTGCCCCAATAACCGAGAATCAAAGGGACAAGAACATGGACAGTTGAATGCAAGCTAGGTGTATATAGAGGCTTACAGGGATTATATAAACATAGCCTACTTGGAGGACCAAGGGACTTAGTAAGTGGGGGTTTGTGAGCTATGTAAAAAACTCCTTAGAAGGAGGTTATATAGGGGATCATATAGAGGAGTATTATAACAGGGTTTATGAAGGGGCATACTAGGAGTTTAGACTATAGCTCATGTAGCTTATGAGGATCATGCTTGCTCCTGGCACTCCAACTATGGCCTGCCATCAGAAAGTGCTTTGCGAGAGCAAGATCAGGATCAAAGTTGGGACTGCTTAGGGATTATGGTGCCAAGCACTTAAACCCTAAACCCTGAACCCTAGACCCTATTTATCATTATAGTCCCCCTTAAGTAGATGGAATATGGCTTTGGATCTATTATAAAAGGATCCCCAAATACCTCATAGTCTATCTACTTAAGGGGACCATATATCTACTTAAGGAAGCTTCAAGGCTTGTAGGAGGACCTGCTGGTGGAATTAGAAGATGGCTCCACAGAGTCATGTTTTGCAATGCAGTCTTTTATGTAGTAGCATCCTCCAGTTTGCCATTTGGTCTTCTTTTGCCATGCTTACTGTCCCCCCACCACTGTTAGCTTCCTGTTGTTATTACTTCTCTCCCAGTATTCGCTGGTAGCATGAGTCGTCATCCAACTGCCACAAGAATATAGGGTAATGTTGAACCCTTTTTTAAGAGTAGACCCCCCCCTGCCCCTAACAATAGGGCCCTCCGAAAAATAGAAATTAGTGACCCTCAATACGGCCCCCTGAGCTCCCACGGTTCTGAGGTCCCTGCGGATTGATTTAAAAGGGATTGTTGAGAATCTTTCCTAGATGTTTAGGGCCCAAAAATCAAAACACATCATAGAGGGCCTTGCAATCATTGCCCTGATCCTCAATCGGCAGTCACCAAAACACGTTATAGGGGGCCTTGTCAATAAAGGAGGTCCAACATTACATTAAACATGTGGCCCCTATGCGAAGGCCGGTAAACTGTCAACGTTATGGACGATAAAGCAAGCTATGACCGGACAAGGGGCCTCTTGTCGCACTTTTGCGAATCCTGCGTGTATCTGCTGAAGTTCCATAGCTTCATGGATCCAAAGGGTGCAAGTACCGAATTGCTGTAAAGTTCCCCAAGTATATTGCATACTACCTCAGTCCCCAGCACTGACGACTTGATTACCTGGACCCTGTGTGGAATGCCTAAACCCGAAACAGCAAGTGGTAAGATACATGCATTGGCAGGTATTTTGCCATGTAGAATCTTGACTCTGCATAATTATGATATACATTGCACATATCTAAATGTGTCCGTTATAATGTCTCTACACCCTAAACCCTGAATCCTAACTGTACTTGAACATAAAAAGCCCCAAGCCCTAAACCCTAAAACCAGACCATACTCGAACATACCAAATTTATTGCGTTTTAAGCTCCTACCTGAGGTCTTCTGGATCATCCCACAGGATGCAGAAGCATCCGAGCTTGGCTGAAAGATGTCAACTTATCAACAGTCAACCTTTTTTGGGGGGTTCAGGGTGCAGGCTTCTAGGGTTTTGGGGGTTTAAGGTTAAGGGGTTTGAGGATTCTAGGGTTTGAGCTTAGCATTCAGTTGTACTACAGTGTAGGGCTTAAGGTTGTCAAAATGCATGCCCCTGTGTAAGTACTATCCGACCCAAAACAGGAAACATGATGTTTGGGCAACAACCCATACAATTCCTGGTGGTGGTTCCTGGTGGTGGCCCATATAGCCCTCGTATGAGCTTTATTCATACCTATGGTCTCATAAGCGTAGCAGAAATTGGATGACTGATTGTATCAATTGGTGGGGTAAATCATAGGGACCATTGCTGGAACTACCCATAGCTACCCGTAAGCTATAGCATCGCGCGGAACGAGGCCAGATGCATCGGTTGTGGTTCATGCATGTGGTCATGCTTTCGTCGCTAATATGCTTCTGTCGGCATGTTTCGGAAATCTTGAAGAAAAGCCTCTAATTAGCCATCCGCCCTGTCTGCATGCGGTCTTCGGGCGGCATGATGACAGCATCTATTTTGCTGCCGCGCCGCTGCTGTCATCACCATCAGCATCGTACGCATTGCGCGCGGCGACGTGCAAGGAGCAGGCTTGGTTTTGCTTATGCGCGTGTCTGTGAGCGCGTTCCTGGACATGTTTCTTGTGAGAGGCTAGTGCTCGCCTGCCGCTGTTGGCGACCCCAAGCCTTGGGGGCTGCGTCAACGTGGATGACTGCACGGTGGAGGTTATTCCCCGGCACAGGTGCCGCAACAAGGCGCTTCTTCGTAGTGCACGGGGCTGCTCTTTGCTGTTCTGCCCTCCGGTTTTCAA